AAAGCCGCACAGGCGGCGGGATCCCCCGCCTCTGCGGCTTTGCTCCTGTCTCCCTGCTGTGTCCTCAACACTCTCCAGAAACTTCCAGGATTGTCTGTACACTGCTGTATTACTCTCAGCAGATATAAGGATGATTGAATTTACCCATGAGAGCCAGGCTCTGTAATCTGGAAACTTCTGTTGGTTTTAAAGTCATCTTTTAAGAAGTGAAAGTCAGATCCTAGTGAGGAAAATAGGACCATAAACTTTGTCAAATTAAGTGTAAAAATATAATAAGAAAAGCCAAAAAGGAGTTTAAAGAACAGCTAGCCAAAAACTCAAGAAGTAATAGTACATTTTTTTTTAAGTACCTCAGAATCAGGAAGCTGGCTAAACAACCAGTGGGGTCCTTGGATGATTGAGATGCTAAAGGAGCACTCAAAGATGATCAAGTCATTGCTGAGAAACTAAATGATTTCTTTGCCTCAATTTTCATGGCTGAGGATGTTAGGGAGATTCCCAAACTTGAGCCATTCTTTTTAGGTGACAAATCTGAGGAATTGTCCCATATTGAGGTGTCATTAGAGTTGGAACAAATTGACAAACTTAACAGTAACAGGTCACCGGCACCAGCTGGCATTCACCCAAGAGTTCTGAAAGAACTCAAATGTGAAATTGCAGAACTATTAACTGTGGTTTGTAACCTATCCTTTACATCAGCTTCTGTACTTAATTACTGGAAGATAGCTAAAGGTGACACCAGTATTTTAAAAGGGTTTCTAACGGTGATTCTGGCAATTACAGACCAGTAAGTCTAACATCAGTACCTGGCAAATTAGTTGAAACAATAGTAAAGAATAAAATTGTCAGATACCTAGATGAACATAATTTGTTGGGGAAAAGTCAACATGGTTCTGTAAAGGGAAATCATGCCTTATTTTAATCTGCTAGAGTTTTTTGGGGGGGTAAGAGGGGGTCAACAAACATGTGGACAAGGGAAATCCAGTGGATACACTATACTTAGAGTTCCAGAAAGCCTCTCACAAGATTCCTCAGCAAAGGCTCATACGTAAAGTAAATTGTCATGGGATAAGAGGGACAGTCCTTTCATGGATTGATAAAAGACAGGAAACACAAAGGGTAGAAATAAATGGTAAGTTTTCAGAATGGAGAAAGATAACTAGTAGTATCCCCCAAGGGTCTGTCCTGGAACTAATCCTAGTAAATTATTTACAAATGATCTGGAGAAAGGGGTAAACAGTGAAGTGGTAAAATTTGCAGATGATACCAAACTGCTCGAGATAGTTAAGACCAAAGCAGACTGTGAAGAGCTTCAAAAAGATCTCACCAAACTAAGTGATTGGGCAACAAAATGGCAAATGAAATTTAATGTTGATAAATGTAAAGTAATGCACATTGGAAAAAATAATCCCAATTATACATAAAATATGATGGCAACTAATTTAGCTACAACTATTCCAGAGAAAGATCTTGCAGTCATTGTGGATAGTTCTTTGAAAACATCCACTCAGTGTGCAGCAGCAGTCAAAAAAGCAAACAATGTTAGGCATCATTTAAAAAAAAAAGAGAGATAGAGAATAAGACATAAAATCATGGTACAGCCACCTCTTGAATACTGCGTACAGATGTGGTCGCCTCATCTCAGAAAAGATATATTAGCATTGGAAAAGGTTCAGAAAAGGGCAACAAAAATGATTAGGGGTTTCTAATGGTCCTGTATGAAGAGAGATTAAAAAGACTTGGACTTTTTAGCTTAGAAGACACTAAGGAGGGGTATGATCTTTAAAGGAGGACTATAAAATCATGAATTGTGTGGAAAAGTGAATAAGGAAAAGTTATTTACCTGTTCCCATGGTGTAAGAAGTAGGAGTCCGCTAATGAAATAAATAGGTAGCAGGTTTAAAACAAACAAAAAGAAGGTTTTTTTCATGCAGCACACAGTCAACCTGTGGAACTCCTTGCCAGAGGATGTGAAGACTAGGATTTTAACAGGGTTCAAAAAAGGAGTTAGATAAATCCATGGAGGTTAGGCCCATCAATGGCTATTAGTCAGGATGGGTAGGAATGGTGTCCTTAGTCTCTGTTTGTCTGGAAATGAATGACAGGAGAGGGATCACTTGATGATTGCCTATTGTGTTCACTCTCTCTAGGACATCCTGTCAGTAGACAGGATACTGGGCTAGATGGACCTTTAGTCTGACCTAGGATCACCATTCTTGTGTTCTTGTCCAAAGAATACCTTGTCTATCTCATCTTGTTTACCTGGCGGTCTGTTAACAGACAGAGCCGGATTAACGTTTTGTGGGCCCTCATGTAGTCATTATCAGCTTCTTCTGAGTGTAGGCCTGATGTGGCAGTGCTATAGTTTACCTGGTACTGAGTCTGAGGTATTTTTTATTTTGATCACATACCTCTGCAAAATTGTATGTATTGCCATACACAGCTTCCTCAGCCCCCAGTTTTTCTCATTGACCTGTACACCCATATGGGTTTACTAGTGTCCACAGTGAGAATAAATTTCATAGTGATTAGGGGAAACTCCCCACAGATTTATTTCCTTCCTCAACTAGACACTTTGTAACCTTGTCCACCCTATTTCACCAGTCACATTATGTAATCCTGGTCTCAGCTCAATAAAGTTCCACAGCCAGCAGCTACCTAGAATCATAGAATACGAGAACTGGAAGGGACCTCAAATCCAGTCCCCTGCCCTCATGGCAGGACCAAGCACGGTCTAGATCATCCCAGACAGGTGTCTATCTAACCTGCTCTTAAATATCTCCAGTGATGGAGATTCTAAAACCTCCCTAGGCAATTTATTCCAGGGTTTAACCACCCTGACAGTTAGGAGTTTTTTCTTAATGTCCAACATAAATCTCCCTTGCTTCAGTTTAAGCCCATTGCTTCTTGTCCTATCATCAGAGGCCAAGGAGAACAATTTTCCCTCTTCCTCCCAGTGATACTGCTATCATGTCCCCTCTCGATCTTCTCTTTTCCAAACTAAACAAGCCCCGGTCTTTCAGGTCAAGAGGTAGTATTTCTCTCAACTAGACTTAAAAGATGCTTTAGTGGTCTTCTATGCAGACTTCTAAAGTTGAAATAGAATTTGGCAAAGCAATTCTAATTGACAAGTAAGCTTGTAAGTGAGAAATACTGGGACCAGCAAAAATAATTTGTTACATGTTCATTTGTTGATAATTTTTATAGGATTACAGAGATATTATTGACACACCAATGGATTTTGCTACAGTTAGAGAAACTCTGGAAGCTGGCAATTATGAGTCTCCAATGGAATTATGTAAAGATGTAAGACTGATTTTCAGCAACTCTAAAGCTTATACACCAAGCAAAAGATCAAGGGTAAGGATTTACAATTTACTCATCCAAATTCTTTATATATATTTAAGTTCCAGAGAGTATGTCAACTCATCTATATATTTGCCTAGTTTTACAACAAGCTGTATTAAAAGCATTTACAAAAATTAATACAAACTAAGATTTCATACAGTTACTTGTTTATATGGCTCTATATCCAGTACTCTTAAATGTAAGTACAATGTTAATATTCCAAATTGATTTTTCTGCTATATATTTGAGATTTTGTGTCTGTCAGTTCAAGAACTCCTAAACAGTGAGAGCAAGGATCCCAAATTTGGTATACAGCTTCCTCTTATCATAACTTAAGGTAATGGTTTGGTTGTGCCTGTAATGGGGTTGCTTCTAAGAAAACCATACAGAAAAGAGACAGAATCACTAGGCAGGTGAAAGGGGCTGGCTGCCCTCCCCTGCCATCCAGGACTAACCCAGCCTGAACCTCCCATTCTTCCCCCAAGAGTGCCCTTTAGGAAGGCCCCCTTCAGTTCATACAGGAACATTGCTGGCTGTTTCCCTTCATCTGGGAGTTTGGGGAAAGTTCACAGTTTGCTGTATTCCTTCGTCTCTCACTCAACCTGGGAATCTCAGGGGGCAGATAAACCTAGACCTGCCCCAGCCGGGGACCCTATTTGTGTCTCTGTCTGTGTGTCCGTCTGTCCCCCAGCTGTGCCCTCTGGACAGGCACTTCTCACCTGGCCCCAAGCTCTCTCCCCAGGGCAGCCTGCCTACTAAACCCCTAATCCCCAGCCCCACCCCAGAGCAATGATTCAAATTAAGAAAAACAAAAACTACAATATGCTACTAATAGCCTTTCTTCTGCTCATCCAGGGCTAAGTATTAACTACTAATTCTGAGACTGAAGAGAAGTGCAGTCAGCTATTCTGTGCATAAGGGCTTATTCACCTGTGTAGACTGGTGATTCTCCTCCAAATCTTCTCATTTGCTGTTGCCTTAATAGAGGAGACAATTTTTTATCAGCAACCTCACAAAGTCTGCCTCCACCCTGATTGGCCTTGGGTCGGGGTGGGGCAACATGCAAAGTCTCCTCCAGCCCTGCAAGGGGCTTGGCACTTAATCAGCCGCCATCTGCTTCTCAGCTGGCAGTTGACTCTAAACAAAACACTCTCTTGCAGAGTGGGGGCAGACTTTGCGTGCGCCCCCTTCCAAGGCCCTGATTGACCTGGGGGCAGAAGGGAAGTGTGCAAAGTCTCCTCCCACTGCCAGGGGCATGGGCACGTAGAGGGAACTGCCAGCTGTTCAGAACAGTAGGCAATTCTCGGAGGGGGTGGGGGGACGGAGACAAAGATTTTGCCCCCCCTCCCCCAAACACACACACACACACACCCACACACACACACACACCCACACACACACACACACCCACACACACACACACACCCACACACACACACACACCCACACACACACACACACCCACACACACACACACACCCACACACACACACACACCCACACACACACACACACCCACACACACACACACACCCACACACACACACACACAGAACAATCAGGTTCTGTGGGTGGGGAAGCACGGAAGTGTCTTGGTCCCGCTCCTTCCACCTGAGGCCTGCTTGGGACCACTTCAAAAATTTCTGAAGTGGCCCCCTGTCAAAAATTATTGCCCACTCTTAGGCTATGTCTAGACTACACTGAAGTTTCAAAAGAGGATATGCAAATTCTGCAGGAATTTGCATATCTTCTTCCTATCTCACTTTCAAAAGCGCAGCTTTCAAAAGCGAAAGTAGTTGGGACACAGTTTTTTTTGGCAACACTCCCTT